AGAGGAGGAGCAGGGAGGAGGAGCGAGACTGATGGGGAGGAGTCGGAAGAGGAGGGGGACGAGGTGGAGGAAGGAGGGACCAGAGTGCCCTCCTGTCCGACGTCTTACGTCCAATGCTCACAGGTGCCCGCAGGCATTCCTTGAGTTACAGCAACAGGAGGAGCACCACCTGGAGAGAGAGGCGCCCCATCGGCTTGTCTTTCAGGCGACGGTCCCGTTTCCAGAAGATGCTGCACTCTGCCATCTCTAACCCGCAAGGGTCTTTCGTTTTGGTCCCCCCCCCTCTCACTCGGCGGTGACTAGGACTGGTCCTAAGACCTCGTCCTCCTCGTCCTCCTCCTCCTCCTCCTACTCCTCCTCCTACTCCCTCTCCTCCTCGTCCTCCTCCTCCTCTCCTCCTCCCTCCCTCCTCCTCTCCTCCTCCCTCCTCCTCCTCCTCCTCCTCCTCCCTTCCTCCTCCTCCTCCTCCTCCTCCTCCTCCTCCTCCTCCTCCTCCTCCTCCCTCCTCCTCCTCCTCCCCCCCCCTCCTCCTCCGCGTCCCCCCGTCCTTCCCCGCTCCTCCTAGCTGTGCTCGTCATTGTTGCGGGGCGGGTGCCGCGGATAACCATAATTAGCTTCCCCCTACCCCATTCTTTCAATCAAGCCGCCGAACAAATAATTAGTTACCCCCTAGGGGGGGGTCTAAAGACCCTTCGTGGTTAAGGAATGCGATGAGCAGTTCGAGGAAGTCTCTGGCGAGGGCCCTGGTTAGAAGTGGGCCGCCCTCAGTTACCGAAGCGGACATATGAGGAGGTCTCACTCAAGAGCCCCGTTTGGAACAGACGATTCCGACGCGACCCCAATCAAGGGCAATCTTCGTATTGCATGGACGCGTTGCGTGGCATTGATTGGCATTGCTTGGTATTGCTTGGCATGTGGCTTGGCACACAGCTTGGCCGATTGCTGGGCATTGTTGGGCACTGCTGGGCATCGCTTCGTCCTGCGTTGCTTGGCATTTCTTTGCACCTCTTTGCGTTGCCTGGCGCTGCGCGCCACTCCGTAATCCGCCTGGCTTGGCACTTCCTGGCAGCCCGGGGAGGGTCTCTCTGAAGCCAGAAAAGGAGACACGTCCAAGGAACCCCGGGGACCCGAGGAGCCCGGGCAGGGTTGGCCGTCGAAGACAGGAAGGAGACAAGACACCGAGGAACCCCGGAAACCCGAGCAGCCCCGGCCAGCGCAGGCAACGCACCTGTAGCAGTGCCATCCATCCTCTCCTCCCTCTCCTCCTCGTCCTCTTCCTCCTCCTCCTCCTCCTCCTTCTCCTCCTTCTCCTCCTCCTCCTCCTCCTCCTCCTCCCTCTCCTCCTCCTTCTCCTCCTCCTCCTGCTCCCTCTCCTCCTCCTCGTCCTCCTCCTCCTCTTCCCTCCCCTCCTCCTCCTCCTCCTCCTCCTCCTCCTCCTCCTCCTCCGAACAAGCCCTCAATATTTGCAGATGTCTTCAAGCCTACACAATGGTCGTACTGTTGAGGATGTCTTAAGCAAAAAGCCCAATTTGAAAAGGGGTCGCCTGTTCTTTGAGCTTCAAGACGAATGTGCGCGGTGCTTTAGCGATAATTGCATTTTTAAAACGAGCCGCCCTCCATTGTGGCAGCAGCAAAGACTTTACGACAAACCATGCGGTGCCGGGGAGGGAGATACAAATAAAGAGAGAGAGAGAGAGAAAGAGAGAGAGCGATAAAGAGCGACAGAGAGAGAGAGAGAGCCACACCTTGCACACGTAACTGCTGGAGAGTCTTCAGACGAGTGTGCTCGGCGCCAAATCGAGAGCCACGCTTTGGAAGCGATTCGCCTTCCATCCTTGTAGTTGTTTTCTGTCACTCATCCTTGTTTCGAAGAAACAGCGGCATGCGCAATCAACTGTTGGAGCTCCGCGCGGATTTCTTGGATCTGCGCGCGCCAGGGGCGGAGCCAGAGGCGCCCCCAGAAGCCCTCAACGCGGATCCGAGAAATCCGCGCGGAGTTCCGAATGTTCATGCTTATGCAGTTTGTTAGTCCTCTACCGTTGCTCCCACCAGACCAACGCAATCACTGCGAGTTGCCCGGGCGCGCGAGTGGTACGCGAGTCGGCCCTTGCCCCACCCAGGCCTCCCGCTGCGGCCGAGTGTGGGCTTTTTCAGCGCAGGGCGCCTCCGCCCTGGCCGACCTCCCCAGGCTGAATGACCCTCCCCCGCCGCCTTCCTCCGCCGCCCTCCTTCTTTCCTCTTCCTCCGCCCTGGTCCGCCCTCCTCCTCCGCCCTCCTCCGCGCTCCTCCTCCTCCGCCCTCCTCCGCCCTCCTCCGCCCTCCTCCGCCGCCCTCCTCCTCCGCCCTCTCCCTCGGCTGCTCACTCCTCCTCCGCCCTCCTTTCTCCTCGGCGTCGTCGTCCTCCCCCAGTCCCCTTCCGTGGGCAGCGAGCATCGTCCGCCCGCCCACGCCGCAGCAGGTGTGGGCGTACCACCCTGGCAAGGCCCAGGCCGAGCCCCCGGCCTCGGAGTGGAGCCTGCCCATCGACGGCTCCGTCGACGCTGGCTTCCGTGTTCAGGCGCGGCCATGCTGCCAGCCCCTTCTCATGGCAGCCCAACTCCCCAAACAGTGCTTGCACTGGGGGGACCTCTTCCCAGATAACCGACGCTCCAACCTAACATTGGAGCGGGCGGTTTTTGGCCGTGTTCGTCCTTCGGGGGCCTTCGCAGGGCCTGAGAGCGTCAAAAAACGACTCAGGACGAAAAACTGGCCTTAGGGAAGTGGTCTGGACTTCCAGGGCCCACGCATCGGAAGAGTTGGAGCAGCTTGATGTCTAGGTTGCTTGTGTTACCTAACTGCTCGGATGGGTCTGCCAGGGCTTCGCGTGGTCCTGGCGGATGGCCACCCGTTGGCGCCTCGTGGGCGCCCTGTGCGCTGGGTGGGTTTGCCGGGGCTTCGCCTGGTGCCCACATAGAAGACGCAGCCAGGGTGCAGTAACAGGTCTCATGTCCGCTGTCCTCCGTGAGGCCTCTGGAGTGCCGCTCAGCTGTGAGGCTGCTCCTCCTCCTCCTCCTCCTGCTCGTCTTCCTCCTCGTCCTCCTCCTCCTCCTCCTCCTCCTCCTCCTCCTCATACTCCTCCTCATACTCCTCCTCCTCGTCCTCCTCCTCCTCCTCCTCCTGGGGTGCTTGCTCCGGGGGGCGCAGCGGTCGGCGATCTCGCGAGGCATCGGCGGATCGGAACAACCCCCAGGCAGGGGGGCCAGCGCAAGACAGGTGGGTGGGAGGAGCGACCCGGCAGGGCAGTTGGTATGGTGTCGTTTGGGGTGTGTCCTCGCGCTTTCCTGTCCCAGTGCTGCCCCGCATGCGAAGAAGGTAAGCATCCCCTCCCTTCTGTGAATGCGCTCTATCCGCAAACCCTGGCCCCCCTGTCCCTTGGTGCAAAAGCAGCGCGTCAGAGCGAGTGATGCTTGTGAGTCGCACAGTCCTTGTCGCTCCCCCGTGTAATCGGACAATATGTGTGACCGTCGTGAGCCCGCGGCGCCCAGCAAAGAGAGCTACGGACCTCCCTTCGCTTACCAGCATTGCAGCGCTGCCATCTGTGGCCGCGATAAGTGTCGCCATTGGTCGGACTCCCAACCATGAATTTGCTCTCCAGGATGTGGTGGTCGCTGAGACAGTCGTCATTCGTTAACGTCCGACGTGGCAATCCATGGCACGTCAGTTGTCTCTCCAGAGTGTGGTTTGACCAGTATGGGTGTGGTTGGTCCCCACATGAATCGTGTTTTCAGCACCGCTGCTTGATCTATGCTTTTTGGTGCGCAAGGGCGTGATCGGACGCTCGGTCGAGTGTCCGCTGGACTTGGCCACATCTATCAGTATAGTTTGAACACGCATGGTACATAGTATATGCATGGGTGTTGAGATATAGCACACACACACTCTTTCTCTCACACGCTCACACGCACACACGAACACACTAACACTCACGAACACACACGACGACACACGAACACACACACACACGAGCACACACGATTACACGACCACACACGAACTCGAACACGAACACGAACACAAACACGAACACGAACACGAACGCGAACACGAACACGACCACGAACACGAACACGAACACGAACATGAACACGAACATGAACACGAACACGAACACGAACGCTAACGCGAACGCGACCACGAACACAAACGCGAACACGAACACGAAGACGAACACGATCATGAACACGAACACGAGCACGAGCACGAGCACGAGCACGGGCACGAGCACGAGCACGAGCACGAACACGAACACGAATACGAAACCAATCACAAACACGAACACACACACGGACACGAACACGAATTCGAACGCGAACATGATCATAACACACAACGCACAACCCACAACACAGAACACACACCACACAGCACAGCACACAACACACAACACACACACATCAACATAAACACACAAACGCAAGCACAACCACATCCACAATCACAATCACACACACAACACACAAACACGCACACAAACACTCACACAAACACACACACACATACACACAAACATATACACATACACACATACACACACGCGCACACACGCACGTACGAACGCACGCATACACTGATCTCGCATCGGGTTTTCGCCCACCACCCCCACCCTTTCGCCGTGTGCGGCCCCGCTGGAGTTAGAGAGCAGGGTTTTCGCCCCCCCCGCCGCGCGCGGCCCCTTTGGGTAGTGATCGAGGTAGTGAGTGGATTCATGATTACGGATTAGGAGCAGGGCTTTCGCCCCCGCCGCTGTGCGCGGCCCCATTCTAGGGCAGGAATAGTAACGAGTAGGAGTCTAGCATGTAGAAATAACGAGTAGGACCTGGGTGAGTTGTTTTGGCTCCTTCCTGGCCAGCTAGGGCCTGGGTTGTCCTAGAGGCGATGCTACATGCTGGGCCCTGGGGGATTTGGTTCAGCTCCTTCCTGGTTACTTGGGGGACCTGGGGGCCCTAAAGGCGACGCTACATGCTGGGGCCGGGAGAGTAGGACCTGGGGGATTTGTTTTGGCTCCCTCCTGGTTAGCTCTTTCCTAAAGGCGATGCTCCATGCTAGGACGTGGGGGATTTGTTGTCTTTTCCCCGTTCTCCCCGTAGCATGGGGTTGCCAGAAGAAAAACAACGAGGGGGGAACTTGTTTCCCGCCCTTTAAAGGAGCGGCCCCCAAAGCCCCAATAGCATATGCAAGGGCCTTGCATCCTAACCTTGCGGTTTTACGAGGGAAGGAACAATGGCCCAGAGACACAAGGAAAGGACTTGCATCCCGATCAGTATGCCACTCCGCAGCCCCACTCGGATCAATTGCGATCGCTTTGTATGGCCCAGGATGAGAGCTCTGGCCGCGATTGGGCCGATCTCCCAGCGCCCGAACCCGAAGGCCCAGACCCCCAGGTCGCTGGCAGTGATAGCGACGACCGGCCTGCTCTCCTACAGCCAGGTGTTTCTGACGCGGTGGCGCCTGAATGTAGAGACCTTGTGCTGCCTGAGCCTGTGCTGCCTGAGCCTGATGGCAACGTTCCCTCGCCGCTAGGGCCTGAGCCCGAGTCAGGGCCTGAGCCCGAATCATTTTCAAGTACAGCCCCAATGGCAAGCGCACGAGAGCTCAGAGCAAGCATTTGTCGGAGAGGATGCGCAACATGAAGCTTCATACAAAAAACTGAACAAACTTTCATTACCACTGCGGAGCTGATGTTTCCTTGCGCAATAGATGCGGTGCATAAACATGCACGTGTTTCAGCATCGTTTTCATCGCGATGTATAAAGATGCCCGAAGAGTTTGGGACAGCAGTTTGTCGTGGGATGGCGTCACAAAAGACAACTGCCAGCCACTGAGGAGCGACCTGCCTCTTTAGATTCTTACACCAGGGCTTCGGGTGTAGCGACGGCCCACCGAATGCATCTGAACACTGTTCGGCGCGCAGTGAGCATCGTTGCTGACTGCAGGGTCGGCTACCAGCAGGCGGGCATGGATTCCATGATGGCAGAGTTTTCCGACGTCAGGCGGCCACCCATGAATTTTGACATCTGCAAGTCCGCCACTGCGAAGAATCCGCTTGCGCTCAAACTACCAGCCTCCGACGACGAGCATGATGAGAATTCGGCCTGGGGCGTGCTGAACAGCAAGAGGGCTGTGCTGGTCGTGTACCCCGACAAGGCCGTCCTGCTGGATCTGATCTGCGCCCCAGCTGCCATATGACTGGTACATGCGCGAGCGCATGCCGAACGGCTGTAGATGAGTGCGGGTCTGCTGCTGGAATAACCGAGCGATTGGCGCAAGTCCACGAAAAAAACGATCATTGCCTGTTTTGTCCGTGAAGCAGACGGCGGCTACAAGAACGAGAAAAGCTTGGCACCCAGTCAACGCTGTGAACCAGGCGGCCGGTGTTCGCCGTCAGCCCGTACCCCGTGCCTGAGCCACGGTGCTCAATTGGTTGTGGTGGTTGTTACAGCGACGCAGTGCACGCCATGGGTAAACAAAGTGTATTTCTTTGGCTGCCTATTCGGGATGGGCGGCTACGACCACCGTTGGCGCAGTTCCATCTTTCCCACAATGCGGTCCAGGATATCCGTGCGAACTGGGGCTCCCGCAATGGCGGACATTCGGTATGCGAGCTCGTTTACGTTCCATTGCGAGGCAGTGCATTGCCAGTTCACCAATGCTCTCTCGACGGCGACGAAGCTAGAGCAAAGCGCTGAGCTAAGTCTTGCGCCGAGATATTGGATGACCGACTCTTCTGGTGCAGTGGCGGCCTGGCAGAAACTAAACACTTCGCGCACTACGTCGCTGAGGAGACGCGCGGCGCGAACGAGGAGCAGATCGCCGGCGGCATGTCCACGGCCCTCTTGCGTTGGGCAGCGTCGCCCCTGCCAGGCAAGCCAAAGTCTGGGAAGCGGACGAAGCACGGGGACCAGGGAGGGGGGAAGAGGAGGAGGAGGTGGGGGGGGGGGCGGAAGAGGAGGGGGGAGGAGGAGGACGACGGCGGAGGAGGAAAAGGGGGGAGGGGGAGGAAGGGGCGGGGGCGGGAGGAGATGGATGCGGGGGGGGGAGGAGATGGATGAGGGGGAAATTGGAGGAGGACGGAGGAGGAGGGGGAGGAGGAAGAGGGGGGGGATGGGAGGAGAGTGGCCCCAAGATGGCCCACTCGCACTGGTGACAAATACAATATCACGCAGATATGTTAATGTTGTCCAGGGGGGGGGGGACTTGGCTATGTGAGATGGCCTGCCAGGTCTTGCGACACAGTGGCACTGGCTGAACATCTTGCTCCGCGGAGTGTCCAACGACCTTGTGGGCACTACCTTTGGTGACCTGCGCGTCGACCCAAACGATATCACCGGGGCCAGTGATATCACGCAGGAATTCAAGTATCACGCTGCCGCTGGGATTAGAGCTACCGCAGTGAGGGATCTTCGGTCCAAAGACGCCAAGTTGGCCCTAGCGTCTCTGTCGCTCGTTAACATGGGGCTTCGGCGTTTGCACTCCTGGTCCTTGGTGAAGGGCGCAGAGAAGCAATCGTTGCAGAAACGTTGCGCCTTCGACGATTTGAACTGGGAGACATCAAGTCCGGCCTCAGTGGTGCAGCAGTATCCACTATCTGATGGCGGGCTGCGCTGACGTTTGCCAACCTCTGAACGGCCCGCTCGGGCACGCGAGTTGGGGCGAGTTCATGCGAGCGGAGCCCGATGCAGCGAGACATCGCATGGCGACGTGTCGGTGCGCCGCGGCGTCCGAATTTTCGCGTCAGGGTTCCCAGGCCGACTGGCTGTCCTGGGCGACCCGCAGACTTCTGACCGCGATAGGAAGAAGGCCGCGACCCGCAGACTTCTTACCGTTCTCGCTTCAGTTTCGTTTCCCATTATTCCCCCGGCTTCGAAGCAGACCCCCCAGGTCTTGGATCTGGTTCTGGTTCTGGCTACGGCTTCTTTATTCTGTTGGCCCCGAAGGAGACCCCAAAGTCATGGTTGTGGCTTCGGTTCTGGTCCTGATTTCGGTTTTCCTTTTTTTTCTCAGGCCTCAAGTAAGACCCCCCCGTTCACGGTTTTGGATCCGGTTCCAGTTCGGATTTCTTTCTACATGGGGCCGCGAAGGAGACCCCCCAAGTCGCGGTTTTGTTTCCGCATCCGGTCCCGTTTCCGATTTTTTTGTTTCCTTCATCTTCGAAGAAGAAACCCGAGGTCACGATTCCGGTTCTGGTTCCGGTTCTTGGTATCTCTTTTTCCCCGGACCAGACCGCGTTGGTCATGGTTTTGGCTTCGGCTTTGACGCGGAAGAAGATTGTTTAGGTCAAGGTTATGGGTTTGGTTCCGGTTCTGGTTCTGGTTTTGTTTCGGGTTTTCTTTTCTCGGTCGGTCACAGTCGGCCAGGTTCCGGGTTTGGTTTTGGTTTCATGTTCTTGTTCCGCCAGCCTCGAAGAAGACGCCCCGTTGCTGGTTCTCGTTCGGATTTTTCTCTTCTTCCGGTGTTGAAAAACCCCGCCCAGGTCACGGTTCTGTTTCAAGTTGCGGTTATGGTCCCAGTGTTTTCTTGTTTTTGTTTTTCTTTGGGCCCCGAAGAAGATCTTCCTGTTCACGGTTGTGGTTCCAGTTCAGGTTCCGTTTCCGGATCCTCTTATTGGGCCTCGAAGCAGCACGATTTGGGTTCCCGTTTCGATTCCAGTTCCAGTTTCTTTTTTGTTTCGGCCCCGAAGACCCCCCTGGGTAATTGGTTCTTCGTTTTCGGTTCCAGTTCCGTTTTTTTTTTTATGTAATAGAAGACTCGCCAGGTCACGGTTTTGGTTTTGGCTTGTTGTAATGGTTATGGTTATGGTTCCATTTTCCTTCGTGTTGTTCGGCCGGTCACAGTCGGCCAGGTTCCGGTTTCGGTTTTGGTTTTGGTTCCGTTTTTTTGTTTTGTTTGTTTCTGGCATCGAGAAAAACCTGGTGACGGTTTGGGTTCCGGTTCCAGTTCCGGTTTCTTTCTTCGCCCGGTCCTGAAAATGATTGCCATGGAAGTCATTTTCAGGAACCGTGACTTGCAAGTCACGGTTCCAGTTCCGGTTCGGGTTCCGGTTTCGGTTCCACTTTTTCCTTCTTTGGTTCAATGAGTTTTCGCGATTTAGGTTCCGGTTCCAGTTCCGGTGCTGGTTCCTTTTCCAGATTGTTTTTTCTGGGCGTTCTTTGGTTCCGGTTGTGGTTCAGGTTTTATTTGTTCCCGTTCCGGTTCCGGTTCCGGTTCCTTTCTTCTGGCCGAAGAAGACGCCCGAAACCACCGCCATTCCCACATTTGCGTCGACGGTCCGTTCAGCAGATGCCATGTTTTTTTGGGCACGCACTCGCGCAATTTGTCGCATTGCGGCCACGTCCGGAACTCGAACGCAATCGACGATGCTGGATCTGCCCGCACTCATTTTCGTGATCTGCAACGCTGCTATGCTCATCCAGAGCTTCAAATTCGAAGTCTGGGTTCTAGAGTTGGGAGTTGTGGGTCTCGGGAAACACTAGATCGATTCACGATTTGTTTTGACCTTTTACTGTTACCGGTGTTGGTGCGGGGCTTGTCGTGTGCATGTTTGGTCGCGTTGTTGTCTGAGCAATGACCTCGCAGATCGTGGGAGCGGGCTGGATGAATTCTTGACGGTTCGCGTAACCCCACCAACCCATCCAGAAACGATGTCCAGAAGAATTGCCTCGATCAGGGAAGTGGGCAGCACAGAAAGGAAGGGTCCCCCAGTGGAGGCCTCTTGGAGCGTCTCGGGGGCCTCGGAAAGCTCTTTGGGGCCTCTTGGGGGTCTCTTGGGAGCCTCTTGGAGGCCTCTTGGGCGCCTGTTGGGGCCTCCTTGGGCCTCGTGGGCGCCTCTTGGGGCCCTTTTGAAGCGCTCTTGGGAGCCTTGTGGGCGTTTTTCGAGCCCTCATGGGCCATCTTGGAGCCATTTTGAGGCCCCGGATGGCCATCGGAAGGGAAAGGCGGGAAAGTTCAAAACACGGATTTTCCAAAGTTTTTGGGAGGATGTTGGCCTCTTCGGGGCCTCCATGGGGGAGTTTTCTCTGGCTACTTGGAGCCGTCTTGGAGCTTTTTTGGGACCTCTTGGAGCATCGTGGGGGTTATCTTGAGCCATCTTGGATGTCATTCTGGGTTCACCCAGGCGCTCCTGGAGTCATCTTAAGCCTTGCCCCCCCCCCCCCCAGGAAGCCAACATGTGGCCACAACTGTTGGTACAATCAATGATTTTGGCGTTTTCGCCGAGCTATCTTGGAGTGTTTTGGGTGCCTCTGGGGGGCTTCGTGTGTTATGATGTTCCAACCTACTTTGGCGGAGCGTCTTGGGTGCCTATGGGGGGCCTCTTGGGTTATGATGTTCCAACCTACATTGGCCTGGACCAACCGCGTGAATTTCGAGCATCACAAACAACGTCGAAACTCTAGTGTTTTCACGTGTCGGGCCCTGGGTGACTGCTTCGACACATGTGTTTTCCAAACTGTTTCGACACCTTTCCCGGTGTTCGAAATTATTTTGGGGATGTGGTCCTCAGGTGCGATGGGGGCAACATAACTCTTGGGGCCTCTTGGGGGTCTCTTGGGAGCCTCTTGGGGGCATCCTGGATGCCTCTTTGGGGCCTCTTGGGGCCTCCTGGCCACATCTTGGGGCCTTTTTTGGGGCACCTTTGGGGGCCTTGGGAGCGATCGTGGGGCCATCTGGCATCTCGGAGGGGGGGCGATCCAAGACGGTGGGGGCATGTTTTAGCTTCCCCCACCCAAGGGGCCAACATGGGGCCAAAACCTTAGTAAACTAATAATTGCGGTTTCCTCGCCAAGGCCGCTTTGGACGCCCTGACCGCTCGCGAACCGCCCCGTCCAGGTCCAGGGGGAGGAGTATGGGGGAGGGGTCAAGACCCCCTCCCCGCCCGCAAGCCGTCTTGCTCACTCCCACCCGCCCTCCCAGCACAGACGTAGCACACGACTCTGGCCCGAACCACCGCATATTTAGCAGTCGTCTTTGGATGGGCAGCTAAAGGGAACCAATCCGCCGCAGCCGCCGCCGCCTCCGCCGCCACCGCCGCCGCCGCCGCCGCCGCCGCCGCCGCCGCGGCCGCAGCTGCCGCAGTCGCCGCCGCCGCTGCCGCCAAGTGTAGAGAGTATTGTTTTTTGACGGGGAAGGCGGGGGAGGCCGCATCGGATTGGCAGCGCATGCTCCGAACTTGGAGGCGGAATGTGTTTTGTATGGTTTTTGTACAAGGGATGGTGGTGGCGTGCCCTCAAGGTTCTTGGTTGAGGGAGGCGTGGAAGATGAAACGCCTTAGACCACCTACGCCCAGAGTGCTGGTGGGATATAGATGTCACGATCGTCATGCCAGTGACCTGTGGTACTGCACTAATCTCCTTGAGTTGTGTGTTCGGAGTCGAGGTTCTGGAGTTGAGAGTTGCGGGTCTGGGGAAGCAGCGGCAGGTTCACGACTCCGGTTGTCACATCGCTGTGTACCTGTAGCACGGCTACAAGCATCTGGGGTTTTTGTTGTCGGTGCTGTTGTGTTGCCTTTGCTTTGGTGCTGTGCTATTCTCTGCTATGCTATGCTATGCTATACCATGCTGCGCTGCGTTATGTTGTGCTGTGCTATACTATGCTATGCTGCGCTATGTTACGCTACGGTATGCTACGAAATGCTGTGATGCGCCATGCTGCGCTACGCTATGCTATGCTGCGCTCTGCTATGCTAGAGCTCGGCGAGGCTAACACGAAGGTGCGCTAAGCCAATATAAACCTGAGTTAATCTGAAGCTAAGCTAATATAGGATGAAATAAGCTAAGCTACGATGAGATAGGCAACGCTAAACTAAGGGGGCGCAGCTGGGGGAACCGCGGGGCGGATGCCGGTGGAACCGCCCGGGGCGTGATCCACTGCCCGGTCCTATAAGCATACACAGTAAGAACCCTTCTAGGCAAAACCCATGTAGGGAAAATCCGGCGGCGGCGGCTGCGGCGGCTGCGGCGGGGGCAACGGCTGCGGCGGCTGCGGCGGTGGCGGCGGCCGTGGCGGCGGCGGCGGCGGCGGCGGCGGGGGCGGCGGCGGCGGCGGCGCGGCGGCTGCGGTGGCGGCAGCGGCTGCGGCGGCAGCGCCTGCGGCGGCGGCGATTCGGCAGCGGGGCGGTGCGCGGCGGCGGCAACGGTGGCGGCGGCGGCAGCGCGGCGGCGGCGGCGGGCGGGGCGGCGGCGGCGGGGCGGCGGCGGCGGCGGGGCGGCGGGCGGCGGCGGGCGGCGGCGGCGGGCGGCGGCGGCGGCGGCGGAGGCGGCGGCGGCGGCGGCGGCGGCGGAGTGGCCCCCCAGTAGCTGGCCATCCAAAAGACGACTGCTGCATATGCTGCGGTTCGGGCCAGGCTCGGGTGCTACGTATGTGTTGGGAGGGCGGGTGGGAGTGAACGAGACGGCTTGCGGGCGGGGAGAGAGTCTTGACTCCTCCCCTTACCCCCTCCCCTGGACCTGGACGGGGCGTTCCGCGGGCGGTTGGAACGTCCAAAACGGTTTCGGTGAGGAAGCCGCACTCATTGGTTTTACGACGGGGTTGGGACCATTGTGGTACTTTTGCTTGGGGGGGGGCTAATTCAAGCTTCCCCCTCCTTAGATCGATCTCGTCCAAGATGGTCCCACGAGCGCTCCAAACGCTCGAACTGGGGCACCCAAGAGGAGGTGGCCAGGAAGCCCCACTAGGCACCCAAAATGCCCCCAGGATGCCCCCAATAGGCTCCCAAGAAACCCCCAAGAGGCCCCAAGAGGCCCCCCAAAGGCACCCAAAACGTTCCAAGGGGCCTCGGCGAGAATGCCAACATCATTGTTTTAACTACGGTTTTGGCCACATGTTGACCTCCTGGGGGGCGGGGGGCGCTGCGTATGATGACTCCAGGAGCGCTTCGGGGAGCCCAATATGACCTCCAAGATGGCTCAAAATATCCCAAGGTGCCTCAAGATGGCTCCCACGATGCTCCAAGAGACCCCAAGACCGCCGCCCCGAGACGGCTCCAAGTGGCCAAAGAGCTTCCCCGGGAGGCCCCGAAAAGGCCAGCATCTTTCCAAAACCTTTGGACAATCAATGTTTGTTGTTTTCTCGCCGTTTCGCTTCCGATGGCCCTCCGAGGCCTCAGAATGGCTCCAAGATGGCCCAACAGGGCTCCACGAGCACTCCCGAGGCTCCCAAGAGCGCTTCAAGGGAACCCCAAGAGGCTCCCAGGAGGCCACAGGAGGCCCCAACAGGCGCCCAAGAGGCCCCCAAGGGGCCCCCAGGAGACCCTCAAGAGGCCCCAAAGAGCTTTCCGAGGCACCCAAGACGCTCTAAGAGGCGCCCGGGACCGCCAAGGGTTCCCAAGACGCTCCAAGAGGCCTCCACTGGGGGGCCTTTCCTCTGTGTGCTGCCCACTTCCCTGATCGAGGCAATTCCTCTGGACATCGTTTCTGGATGGGCTGGTGGGGTTTCTTTTTGGTCAACAGGCTCGCGAGGCGGGTCGAAAACCTTCCAAAAGGCTGGCGGGAATCGCAATAGTCGTACGTTTTCCGTTGGCACCTCACTGTCACTGTATGGAAGCGGTGCTGGTTCAGGCTCGTTGTCTGCACGTCAGGTCAGCAACTAATCATTCGGTACGCCGCGTTGCTGTCTGAGCTGTGACATTGTGGGAGCAGGCTGGCCGATTAGGGCGGCGCAGGACACGATTGGAGGGAACGCCTCCTCTTCGGCGCACTTGTCCTCGGGCAGCGTCAGAAGTCCAGGACAAGGTTCCACATGAGGGTTCTTTCCAGATGATTCCCCGATGCGTTTCCCCCTGAAGGTTTCCCCAACAGGGCACTGTTTTCCATAGGCGCGCTAAACAGAAGTCCGGAGCCAGACCCGCCCATCCCCCCCTTTCGCCCAATGTCGAAACGCCGAATATGAAAACGCTCACCTTCCACAGTCGCGGGGGCTGAAGGACAGACGGTGCGCCTATGCACGCAGAGACGTGGCGCGGCCAGTGGCGCCCCCCTTTGCCTTTCCATCTCTGGCTCGCCTCAGCTCCGCTCTTCGCCTCCCTCGTCCCCCTCGTCGTCGTCCTTCTTCTGCTCCCAGCCCCCCATCAGGGTCTGAGTGTTTGGTCTCCCCGCCCCCACACCTCCTCGTGAACCTTGTGCCAATCGCACGTGCGAGGACACATGGCCACAGCATGAGCTTTCACCGAGGCGAGCACCGACCTCCGACCTGCCAGATGTTTGGGGGCCACGTTTCGTCGCCTCGCGATGGGTCCCCTCCGCTCCGTCCCGTTTCCTTTCCTCCTCCTCCCTCCTCCCTCCCCCCTCCTCCTCCCCCCCCCCGTTCCCCCCCCCCCTTTTCTGGCTCGCGGCTGCCGGAGGCGCTGACCAAGGAGCAGGCCGAGCGGTTCGTCGCGCAGAAGGCGCCGCGGCACACTCTCTCGCCCGGGGGGGGGGCGCCCGAGCGGCCCAGGCCGGCAGCTGCAGACCCAAGCGTCCGGCTGCTCCAGTGTGCTCGACGCGTGGGCCCCTTCCGAGCGCCTCGCTACGACAGGAATGTAGAGTCGGGGGTGGACAGAACCCCCAACAGTGACACGTCGATTCGTGAATTGTCCGTTTTCGGTTCTCGAGAGGGCGCCGCGGCCGTCATTTTCCAGGCTTGCGCCCGCCAGGTGTGGGCCTCAGGTCGTTTTCACTAAACCACGTTTTACTAAAGGGAGGTCTGTCCATCCCCGATGGAAGGCATGGGTCGCGAAGCACAGGACACGAGGGTACCCTTGATTTGGCAGGGTCGACCTGTAAGAGTCCGCCTCGACTTTGTGCGGGTTGACTGTAGGTTTCACGGCGCGAGGAGGTGGCGGTCCACGGGCCCACCTCGGGCCGCAGAAGCCTCGGTGGGTTGGGCCCCCCGCCGAGCCTGGCCGGGGGAGAGAACACCCACCGGGAGATGGGCTCATGCTCGACCCAGACCCCCTCGGGTATGAACAAATCATGACGGGAGGTTGTTAATTTTTGTTCGGCCTGGGGAGCTGGGGAGGCCCTCTCCGGGTCTCGGGACCGTCAAACAACGACTCAGGATGAAAAACCCGTCCCGGGGAATGGGTCGAGACACTTGAGGGTCGACGTCGGGGGTCTGGGGATCCGGACCACTTCCATGGGGCGGGTCTTTTGTCCTGAGTCGTTTTTTGACGCCCCCGAGGCCCGGCGAGAGCCCCCAGAGGCTGAAGACGGCCAAAAGCCGCCCGCTCCTATTTTTTTTGGAGCGTCGGATCCCTGGGGGCCGAGCCGACCCAGGTTGGCAGCTGCAGACGGGCGCTGGTGAAGACCTCTGCCCAGCGATCGCCCTCGGGACGCCGGGCGGGGCGTCTCGCGGGGGAGGGGGGCGCGCCGTGTTTTGGGCCGGGGCTGGGGCCCCTGACGGAGGCCGCCACTTGCGTGGTTCGGCGTCTTACAGAGCGTTCTCCAGTGCTGGTGCGTGGACTCTTTCCGCGAGGAAGCCTGAAGGAGCGGCCCAGGCACTGGCCGTCCCCGCCCGAGGTTCCTTCTGGGAGCCCTGCTCGGCCTGTGTCTGGGGCGCCTCGCCCGGAAGGGCCCCCCGGTTTGCCGAGGGAGGTCCCCTGTGGCTCCCCAGGGGGGGGGGGCAGTGTCCCACGGCGGTGCCTTGGGGCCTCCGCCAGGGCCGGTGCCTTCTCCGCCAGAGTGTCCCGCCCGCGACTTGGCCCGAGAGCCGAGGCTCCACCCCACTCGTGTTTCGAGAAGCCTCGAGCCCGTGAGCCGTCACAGCATGCCCGCTCGCCTTCCTGCGTCCTCGTCTGCGCCTCCGCCTCCGCGGCCCGCTCGCCTGCAGGCTGCGCAGGCTGCGCAGGCCGAGGTCTCCGCGCCCGGAGCCCGGCGTCTCGGCAAGGGGGAGCGGTGCGGCGGGCTGCAGCGGCCTCGTCCCGCAGCAGCCTTGCTGGGCGCCTGCCGCGCCACCACGGCGCGGTCGCCTCCTGAGGCGCCCCCCCCTCCATGGCTCCCTGAAGGTTGCGCTGTCCTCCTCCTCCTCCTCCTCCACCTCCTCCTTCTCCCTCCTCCTCAACCTCCCTCGTCCCCTCCTTTTCCCTCCATCCCTCCCCTTTTATCCACTTCCATCCTCCTCCTACGCCTCTTCCCCCTCCTCTTGCATCTCCTCCCCCCCTCAGGGGCGGGTGAGGCAAGAGTGGCCTATGCAATGAATTGCCCTTCCCGCCGAGGATGATGGTGGTGGTGTTGATGTGGTGATAACGAGGAGGAGCGAAGTAGGAGGAGCGGGAGGAGGGCCAGTTCAAAGCCAGGACGCGTCAACGATGATGCAATCAACCCTCCCTCCAAGTTCCCTCTTCACAGGTCCCGACAAGACCTTTCGCTCATTGCGGGAAGTTCCCCATTCGAATATAACCGTCTGAGAACCTTCAATCGTGCCAAAACGCAATTCCTGGGACTTCAGCGCCTCGAATGAGCGTGACTGTCGTCCTCACAACCCGCAGTTGTGCCAGAATGCCATCGTCGGGACTTCAACACCGCCACTTCACGTGACTGTTGCGTCCTGACAGTCCTGAATCGCGCCAGAACGCCATTTCTGGGACTTCAACCATGCGAATCCTTGAACCTGCTGCGAACTTTGGAGACGAATGTGCGTGGCGCCACCGCGAGAACTGCATTTGTTGATAGGCCGCCCTCGGCCAGTGAACCTGTTGCAAGCTTTTAAGACACATGTGCGCGGCGCTACGGTGAGAGCCACATTTTGGAAACGACCCGCCCTCCATGAAACGGTCTCGGAGGTTGATAGACCTACCTTGACACGTCGATCAAGGAATTGGCCGTGTTCGGTTCGCGAGGCGGCTTCGCGGCCGTCGTTTTTGCGGGTCCAGGTCCGCCGGTTTCGGTCCTGGGCCGTTTTCACGGAGGGGAGGTTGATCAAAGGGAGGCTGGTCCACCGCCGACGGGCGCAAAAGTTTAAAACGAACGTGCGCAACGCCACGGCGAGATCACTGAGGGGAGGTTTATTAAAGGGAGGCCTGTCCACCGCCGACGGTCGCAAACGTTTCAAACGAACGTGCGCAACGCCACGGCGGGAGCCGCATTTTGAAAGCTCCACACCTTCTTTCTGATCGGCCAGGGACAGTCCAGGAGGCCAGAGCAGTGCAGGGACGCCGCCTCGTGTCCCAACCTAGGAGGAGGAGGAGGAGGAGGAGGAGGAGGAGGAGGAGGAGGAGGAGGAGAGGAAGAGGAGGAGGGAGGAGGGAGGAGGGAGGGAGGGAGGGAGGGAGGGAGGGAGGGAGGGAGGGGAGGAGGAGGAGGAGGAGGAGGGAGGGGAGGGAGGGAGGGAGGGAGGGAGGGAGGGAGGGAGGGAGGGAGGGAGGAGGAGGGAGGGAGGGAGGGGGGAGGGGAGGGGAGGAGGAGGAGGAGGAGGGAGGAGGAGGAGGAGGAGGAGGAGGAGGAGGAGCAGTAGCAGGAACAGGAGCAGGAGCATGACCAGGAGAGCAGGACGAGTGAGTGAGACGGCGGAGGAGAAGGAGGAGGAGGAGGAGTTGCGAAAGAGAAAACAGGGATGCTTAGGAGGAGGACCGCGTTCGTTATCGCGCTGACATTCGTGACGGTGGCGGTCGTCGTCATCGTCGTCGTCGATGCCGTCGTCACTACAGTCGTGGCCGTCACATACATCATAGTGACGGTCGTGGCCGTCGTGGTCGTGGTGACGATGGTGGTGGTAATCGCCATCGCCGCCTCGCCGTCATCCCCCCCGCCCACCTGGGGACAGGGACCACGTCCACGGCGACACTACCTCCTCTTCAGGGTCTACTTCGATCCGGCCGATCAGTTTCGATAACGATTTCGGCCGGCCCGATCCGATTTGATTCCGATATATCCCGACGGCCCGATGCGGCCCGATGCTCGCCTGACGCCGTGGTGCGCGCTGGCGCAGCCGACCAGATTCGATTCTGGCTCCGTTTCCCGACGCGGCCCGACCCGACGCGCGCTGCGACCCGAGCCGATTTCCCCGACCCAGTGCCGACGGATCCTGCCCTCCCGCGATCGTCGCCATTTGGGCCCCAAGCGCCGGGAGGCTCTGGGGCAACCTGCGTGAGCTGATCCGCTACCCCGCCTCTCCTCCTCCTCCTCTTCCTTCTCCTCCTCATCCTCCTTCTCCTCCTCTTCCTCCTCCAACTCCTCCTCCTCCTCCTCCTCCTCCGCCTCCTCCTCCTCCTCCTCCTCCTCCTCCTCCTCCTCCTCCTCCTCCTCCAGTCTCGCCCGACCCCGACCTTTGCTCCTCCCCAAACTCAGCACGCCGCGCGCGCCGAGGCGCGCGCGGTGTATGCCGAGAGCCCCTCCCCCGTCGCCATCTTGGCCAGGGCCGCCCCCCCCCCCCTCATCGACGACACGCAAGAGCGACCCTTCGCCGGAGTGACCCTTGGTGTGGCATCAGTGCGCTCTTCCTCGCCCACCTGCTCCTCGTCCTCCTCGTCGCCCTTCCCCCCTCCTGGTACTCCTCGTTTCTCACTCCCCCCGCCGTGTCGCACTCAGCGACCGGGGCCCCCCGACCGCTGAGTGCGGTGCGACAGCGGCGTCTTGCGCGCTCATGTTTGGGCCCCCCGCGGCCCTCAATCCGGCCCTCAAGCAGCCGCGCCTCAAAGGTCACTCTTGCCCAGGGTCACTCTATGCGTGTGCGCCGAGGCGCGCGCGCGGCATGCCGATGGCGCCCACCGCCGCGGTGCCCTGTCGCCCGCGGCGGCGCGGAGACCTCTGGCTGCGGGCGCCGCTCGCCGCGGCCGCGGCGGCGGCCCTGCCGCTCGCCGCGGCCTCGGCAGCGGGCGCGTCGCCGGTGGCGCCCGCAGCTGCGGACGCCCCTGCCACCGCGGAGGCCTCTGCTGCGGCGGCGGATGATGACGATGGCGTTGTTGATGATGTCGGTGAGGACGGTGATCGTGATGTTGTTGCTGATATTGATGATGGTGGTGGTGATGTTGTTGTTGAGTACGAGGGTGGTGGTGCTGCTGCTGCTGACGATGATGATGATGATGATGATGATGATGATGATGATGATGATGTTGTTGATGTTGATGTTGATTATGATGAGGATGCTGGTGAAAAGAATAGTGCTGCTGATGATGCTCGTGGTGATGCTCTTGGTGATGATGGTGAATGTGATGGTGATGATTCTGATGATGGTGGGGCTCGTGATGATGCTGCTGCTGATGATGATGATCATGATTGTGATGACGATGATGATGGTGCTGACGGTGCTGTTTATGAGGATGTTGCTGATGATGCTGATGTTGATGAGAATATGAATGAGAAAGCTGGTGATGTTGGTGCTGGTAACAATGACAATGCTGATGATGCTGATCATGACGATGCTGATGCTGACGATGATGATGCTGATGATGATGGTATTGTTGTTTATGGTGGGGATGCTGCTTCTGATGATGATGACGAAGATGAGGATGATGATGCTGATGCTGATGATGAATATGATGGTGGTGTGGTTGTTCCTTTTGATGATGCTGATGCTGATGCTGATGATGTCGATACTGTTGCTTATGATGCAGATGATTGTGTTGAGCACGAGGGTGTTCATGATGGTCGTGAGCGTGGTGAAGGCCGTGGTTGTGATGATGCTGACAATGCTGATGATGACGATGCTGGTTATACTGATGATGCTGACGGTGACGATGCGGATGATGTCGATGATCTTGATGAGGATAATGATGTTGATGTTGCTGGTGGTGGTCGTGCTGTTCTCGATGATGATAAGGGTGATGACGACGACGATGACACTGATGATGGCGATGCTGACGATGACGATGATGATGATAATCATGCTGCCGATTCGATGCTGATGATGACGATGATGATGGTGAACTTGATGATGATGATGTTGTTGATGGTTGCGATAGTGCGGCTGACGATGACGATACCGCAGACTATGAAGTCACTGATGACGAGGATGCTGAAGAGGATGATGCTGGTGGTGGTGGTTTGGGTGATAATGAGGATGAGGATGATAATGATGATGATGATGCTGATGATGATTGTGATGGTGATGGCGATGATGATGCTGAGGATGATGCTGAACATGATGATCATGATTATCATGATGATGGGATAGGGATGATGACGATGCTGATGATGATGATAATGATGATGATGATGATGATGATGAGGAGGATGAGGAGGATGATGAGGATGATGAGGATGATGATGATGATGATGATGATGATGCTGATGCTGATGCTGATGCTGATGCTGATGCTGATGATGAGTATGATGAGAGTATGATGAGGATGATGTCGATGATGATGAGAATGATGATGCCTCCGCTCCGCCGCTGGCCGCCGCCGCCGTGAGGCCTCGTGGCGGGGGCCGCTGGACTGCTTCGGCGGGGGCTGCGAGGCTCCGGGCCTCCCGAACGGTCAGAGGAGGGCCAGTCGAGACGGCGGTAATGGGACTTCGGAGGGGCCCTCGCTGCCACGGCTGGGCGCAGCTCAGAAAACTGGTGCGTTTGGAGCCCAAGAGGGGCCTAGGGATTGATTTTGGGCCGCCGTTGTCTCGTCTCGCCCTGCTCCGAGACGGGGTCCTGAGGCGGAAGCGTGTCCTGGAGATGGAGGGTCGCGCCGCATCGCCGAGGCATCGGTGCCGTGGCGCGATCCTCCGGCTCCGCGTCGAGCCCCGTTCGGGAGGCCTCCATGGAGGCCACGGGCGAGGGCTGCGGCGTCGAGTGCGAGTGCCGGCACCTGGACGGCGTGGAGAGGCGCCGCTTCTTCGCGCCCGGCTGGCGGTGGCCCCAGCGGCCGCGCGTGGTGGTCTGCGCCGGGCAGGCGCGGAGCGGCTCCACGTGGCTGTTCAACGCCGCCAGGCTGCTCTACCGCCAGCTGCGGGTGGCCTGCGACTCCTACCCGGGGAGCAAGCCACGGCGTGCACAGGATCTGCACGCACGAAATGGGTACTGAAAGAATGGGTACAATGCCCAGCAACAGATCTTGTTCATTTTGAACAGGGCTCGCTGTCCACGCCGCCGCGGCCTGTGTCCATTCGAGACAGGAGGCCGACAGCCCAACAGCGTCCGCTGTTGATTTGGAAAAACATTTGCTGTTGGGCATTGTACCCATTTTTTCGGTACCCATTTCGGGCGTCCAAACAGAAACTGTCGGAGGTCCGCGCGGTCTCCTCGGATCGGCGCCGGAGCCTCCTCCCTGGCGCGCGGAGCGCGCCGGGAGCGGCGCCGGAGGCGCCGCCGGGGTGCCCCCGCGCCGATCCCGGGAAGCCCGCGCGCACCTCCGAAGGTCTCTCTGCTTGGGTCGCTGTTTTTGCGCCCCGAGCCTACTGGATGCGGCGCCTGAGCGAGGCGAAGCTGGCGCGGCGCCTGCGCTCGGGGGCCCACGTGCTGGTGACGTGGCATCGCTCGGACGTGTGCGTGTTTTCCTCGGCGGGGACCATCGGGGAGCATCCTTGCAGCATCCTTGATCATCCGGCGAAAAATCCGCGCACGAGACCGGAAAAAGCACAGGGAGTGGACGCCCGCGCGATGGCCAGGTGAAGACCCACGAGTGGCGCGGGGAGTACGGCGGCCTGCTGCCCCGCTGGGGCGCGCTGGTGCTCGTCTCCGCCCGCGACCCGCGCGGCGCGCTCGCGTCGCACCGGCGCATGGGCTGGGCGCAGGAGCTCGGCGCCGCCTGCCCGCTTCCTTCGGGGGATGGGCAGGCTTCCTGCCCTAACACGCCGATTGATCAAGGGCTGGGTAGTCGAAGGCCAGACTGGCAGATTGGACTGGGCCCCAAGGGCCAATCTGGCGTGGCCAAATTGGAGGAGTTGGGTTGTTCGCCAGACTGGATTCGCGTTGGCTCCCTCGCCAGATTGCCCCCGTTTGCCAGATTGGGCCTGCCAGATTGGCGCCAGATTGGCTTCGACTACCCAGAAGGGCGTAAAGAACGCCCCGACCCTGGCTTATGAGGCGCTGTGCGCTGAACCTCCTGTGGGCTGACAGGGTAAACCCTGCGTATCGCGCGCGCCGCGCGGCGTCCTGGCGGCTCTCTGGCCCGTGGGAGCTCCCAGGAGGTTTACTGACCACGCACTTGCAACCCAGGGTAGGGGCGTCTTTTCGCTCCTCAAATTAAGGAATTTGCCGTTTTCGGTTCGCGAGAGGGCGTCGCGGCCGTCATTTTTGGCGGGTTCAGGTCCGTCGGTTTCGGTCCCAGGCCGCTTTCACTCAAGGGAGGTGTACTAAAGGGAGGTTTGTCCACTGCCGATTCCTGACCGAGCGCCCGCGATGACGAGTGACCGAAGGAGAAAACACGAGGTACATAAACATAAACTTCTGGCGCTCCGCGCGGATTTCTTGGATCCGCGCCGGGCCCCCCCCCCCGGCGGCGCCTCCGGCGCCGCTCCTGGCGCGCTCCGCTGCCGCGCTCCGCGCGTCAGGGAGGGGGTCCAGCGCAGATCCAAGAAATCCGCGCGGAGCGCCAAACATTTATGTTTATGGCGTTTTTCTTCTTCTTATAGCCGAGCGCCCGCGATCAGAAGGCATACCCCGACCTTCACCCCTGAGTGTTGGTCCCCCTGGGCCAAGACAGAGTTGGTCGGGGGAGAGGGGCGGCGAGGCGCCGTTCTCATGTTGAGAAGCGCTACCCGCCCCACACCCATTCCCATGCCGATCCCCACTCTCCCACCTCCCCAGCGGGGGACGTGCCCCCCTCGAGGCCCTACGGGGGCCGCCCGCATCCCCTGTGGTGCGCGGGCCACGCCATCGGGGATGGGATCGCTTAGAAGCGCTGCTCAGGAGCTCCCGGCGGAGCACGCGGCGCATCACGCGGCGTGGCAGCGCCACGCCGCGGCCACGGTCGCCTTCGGCGACATTGCTGGGGGCGCCGCAGGCGCCGCGCTGGCCGCCGTGGCCGCGGCGCTGGGGTTGCGCCCGGGCCCGGAGCAGCTGCTGGCCGTGCAGCTGGAGTTGGCGCAGCTGAGCGCGCCGGCCTCGCGCACGAACGTGACCACGAAGATGTGGCCGAGGCACCTGTCCGCGGGCGCTGCGGCCGCGCGGGCGGGGTTGACGTGGCGGCTGCTGCGGAACGTGTCCCGCGGGGCGCGAGATACTGGCAGAGAGAGAGGGGGGGCTCCCTCCTCCCTCCACCTCCTTTCCCACCACCTCCCTTCCCATCCGCCTACCTCCTGCCTCCTCCCTCCCTCCCTCCTCCCTGCTCCCTCCTCCCCCCTTCCTGCTCCCTCCCTCCCTTCGCCCCCCTCCTCCCGCGTCGTCGTCGCCGTCGCCGTCGCCGTCGCCGTCGCCGTCGCCGTCGCCGTCGCCATCGCCGTCGCCGTCGCCGTCGCCGTCGTCGCCGTCGTCGTCGTCGTCGTCGTCATCGTCGTCGTCGTTGTCGTCGTCGTCCTGCTCTGCCATCTGTGTCTCCTTGCAGGCAGCCCCTCGTCGCCGGGCCAGCAGACGTGTCGGTCAGAGCTGGTCTCGGGGTCCCGGAGCTTGTGGCCCTCGCGTCCAGCAAGCCCAGCAGCTTCACCGAAGGGCGGCGGTTGGCTGCTGAAGGCGTGCTCTCTCTTGCGAGTCATCTCGCACTCTATGCACACATTCAACATGTGCTTCTCGAACAGACGCGTAGCTGGATGGAAGACGGCAAGTGCTCAATATCAATATTCTCTCTCCCTCTCTCTGACAAGTCGTCCACCTCCTTCCCTCCTCCTCGCCTTCCTCCCCCTCATCCTCTTTCCTACTCGCGTTCATCCACGCCTTCCTCCTGCGTCCCTCCTCTCTTCTCCTTCCTCCCACCTCCCTCGTCCCACCCCCGTTCCGCTCCCCTCTGGCCACTCCTACCTTTTCATCCGTCCCCCTTCCTGCTCCCCCCCCTCACTCGCCTCCTCCTCCTCCTCCTCCCTTCCTCCTCCTCCTCCTCCTCCTCCTCCTCCTCCCTCTCCTCCTTCTTCTTCACCTCCATTTCTTTTTCTTGTAGATGACTTCTCCCTGTCTCACCCCAAAGCCAGTGGAAAAGGCGGGCCAGGCGTTTCGCCTGAGGCGTCCTTACCATTCACAATCCTGAAACTGGAAAACAAGGGAACAGCTTCGCGGATTCAGGGGGGGTCGTTTTCAAAATGCGCTTCTCGCTTTAGCGAAGCGAGCATTCGTTTTAAACATTTGCAGAAGATTCACGGATTGAGGGCGGGTGGTTTTCAGAATGTGGTTCTTGCTCTAGCGCCGCGCACACTTTTTGAATGTTTTGCAATAGTTTCACGGCTTGAAGGCGGATGTGTTTTGAAATGTTGTTCTCGATTTAGCGCCGCGCACATTCATTGTAAGAAATGCCAGAGTTTCACGGATTGGGGGCGGGTGGTTTTCAAAATGGGGTGTTCGTTTTAGCGTCGGTCACGTAGGTTAAAAACAAATGGAACAGTTTCATGGATTGAAGGCGGGCCGTTTTCAAAATGCGGTTTTTCGCGTTCGCGCCGCGCGCATTCGTTGTAACAAGTTTCAAGAGTTCCATTGATTAAGGCTGTCTGGTTTTCTGAACGTGGCTCTCCTTGTTGCGCTGCGCACACTCACTTTTTAACATTGGTATTATTTGTCGAATTGAAGTTCGGTCGTTTTCAATCTGTGGTTATCGCATTAGCGCCGCGCACACTCGTTGTAAGCGGGTTGTTTTCTAAATATGGCTCTCGCCTTAGCGCCGCTAGCAGTCGTTTGACATACTTACCTAACAGCGAAGACTGATAGGTTTCTAGTTGACTCAAAAGAGCTCACAGATCACTCCACAGGGGGGTCCGGGCAGGTGTTGGGGAGTTGCCGGGCGGCAGGGTGCCGGGCTCGTTTTTCACCAACAGTCACACACTTCGTGCTCTTCGACTTCCCAGAACTCCATTCCCAGGCCACATTCTGAATACCCGGATGCAACAGTCACACAGTTCGTGTTCTTCGAGATCCCAGAACGCCATTCCCGGGCCACATTTAGAATAACCAGATGCAACAGTCACACACTTCGTGCTCTTCGACATCCCAGAACGCCATTCCCGGGCCACATTCTGGAGGGCCGGATGCAACAGTCACACACTTCGTGCTCTTCGAGTTCCCAGAATCCCATTCCCGGGCCACATTTTGGATGCCCGGAGCCAACTGTAGGCCACTTCCTGGTCTTCGAGTTCCCAGAACTACATTCCCGGGCCACATTTTGAAT